AGAATATAATATTGTTAATTAATTCAACTATATTTTTTATATGCAGTTCCGAGAAATGACACACTGAACACTCTTTATATATGATACACAAATTGTTCCTAAATATCTTCTTTTTAGTGAAGAATTGTGCGCATTATTTAGCTCTAATTTTAAAGAATAAATATTTCTCTGAATATCTCTGATACTCTAGCACATCTACCAGCATATCTACGCAAAAACTTCATGACTTCGAAACCAAAGTATATCTGTTTTTTATCTCAATATATTACAATTAAGTATTAGTTGAATTAAAAGCACTTGGCGAATTTTCTAAGGCGATATGATCGGCGTTTATATATCATTCAACTTCTCCTTTTCGTCTTTCTCGGGTATCTTGTCCATCGTGACTTCGCTCATGGCAACTTTCGCGCTTCCGCCTATGCAGGTGGTGAAACAGGTATCACCTATACCAAAGTTCTCGCCATCCTCGATAGATTCCGGCATCGATTGGTTTAGCGTTTCCGGTAGATAGAGCGCCAAGAAGCCCGCCACCAAGGCGACAAAGCCAAAGAGTGCGGCTGGTACTCGTGGGTCCAGCGTGTCCAGTAGAAAGATCATCGGCGTGAGAGAGCCGCTGAGACGTGCACACATGGAACCAATACCGAGCGCCGTATTTCTCACCACTGTGGGGAACAGCTCGGCTGTGTAATTATACACCACAGCGAACGAACCGGCTATACAGCACTTACCTATAAGCACTATCGTGACCGTGGCCATAGCCACCAGGTCGCCAGTCGTGCCAGTAATGATGGCGGCGCAGATGCAGCACACGCCGGCTATCATCATGAATGAACTGATTAGACATCTTCTACCAAGGCGATCCATGGTGAATATTATTAAAATGTACGCCGGTACCTCCAGCACGCCACTGAGAAATAGCATGAGATACGGATTGCCGACAAGATTACCCATGTTAAGCGTCAGTCCGTAATAAGCGATCGAATTGGCAAACCAATTAAGGCAGATGTTTAGACTCTTTTTGCGGAGATTTGGTGTTCGGAAGAGATCTAACGCACCGTGTGATTTTTCCTCCTTGGTCTCCTGCTGTACTTTCGATTTACTGATCAGCTTGGCGGCGTTCACGTGGATGTCGCTGCCGTTCACCTTTAAGCCTTTCTGTATGATGATGATCGCCTCAGCGGCACGATTGTGTGCCCACAGCCATCTAGGCGATTCGTCCATCAGCCACCAGTGGCCAAGCAGAATTACGCTGTGCAAACCATATACGATTTGGAGCCACATACGATCTTTGAGTACAATGCCCCATGCAGCCACCAATACAAAACCCGCGGCAAAGATCAATTGGAACAACACGCCACACACGGTCCTTCTGGACGAACCCACCAGTTCCATCGTCAACACGAATCCGGTGATGTACGCGCCGGCGGAACCGAAAATACCATACAAAAAGCGTATTATCAGAAAGATGTAGTAGTTATTCACTAGGGCGACCAATACTCCGAGCACTAATTGTGCCACGGCAGACACGTAAAATATGATCTTTCTGCCATACTTGTCTGCCATGCTACCGAGGGTAACCGCACCCACAAACACACCGAACATGTACGAGGATTGCGCCGCGGCGCTCATCCAACGTCGTGAGCAAACGAAGTTCCACTCTATGCCGCGTGACGATTGAAAGTATGTTGTGTCATAGGTCCATGAGTCGCATTCCCGGATGATGTTTTCGTGATCCAAATAGTGACAGCTATCAAGACGTGGAAGAGGCACGTCCGAGTTGTTCCAATTGTTAGTGGTAAAATTGAACAGTTCCTTGGTCAATTCGTTCGCTTTAGGGATGTTGCAGTGATGCGCTGGTACCGCCGCGACTGTCAGTAGAGACAGCATGTGCACACCGGCTGTAAGAGCGGCGAATAAGTGAAGGCAGTGCTGCCGGAATTGATATTTACCGAATTCACCCAGGTGAGACATAAGCTCTTCAAGATCTTTGTCCACGCTCGCCATCTCGGTCGTTCGTAACCAGAAAATTTATTCAGATATTTTGCTGGATATTGAGGCTATTTAAAACGTTGATTGTCCTCGAGATGCCGCATGCGTTTACGCTGAAAGAACATTTATAAATGTAAATTATTCAGCATATTTAAATTGCGAAATAAAAGAGAGAATATGGATTTACATTTTATATACACTTATATAATTATGTATATATAAAATCTTCCTTTAATAATTATTAATATTATATTAATATTTATTTAATACATAAAAATAAAATTTCTGATAATGAATATGTC